AAAAGCTGAGGGGTTTTGCAGCTGCACATGAGAACCAGCTGCCTTTTGTCCCTAGAGAAAGTATGGGATGCCACTAGGTCTGTAAAGCAAACAGAGCAGCTGGATGCTAAAGGGATGCATGTAAAATATTTAATATGGATATAAATAGACAAGGCTATCAGAAATCTTAGATTCATTGCTTCATCAAACCATCTCTGCACTAATGAAACTCCAATCTTACTTGGCAGTTTTCCACCACAATCTTTTAGCAATAAAGATGAGTTCTTTTGTAAATAGCACATCCAGTTCTGGAGCTCCATTTCACTACAGACTAGGGTGCTGTGAGAGACATCTGCATCCAAAATATCACGAGTATGCAATGATCAGATCACAAATTTATTTACACAGACTTTATTTTTGTTTTGCTCTGTAAGTCTCAGCAAATGGACAATTCAACCAAATTGTTGGTTTTGGTGAAATAAAATTATTTTAAAACTAACACACAAATGCTTGACCCTCGTTAACATGAGCTAAGGACAACTACGAATGCATTTATATTAAACCTTGAAAACTTAAGATTTCAGGATCCTCTGAGAAAAAACTCACAGTTCTTTTAAATTGAGAATACATCTACAGTTCAGCATTCCAATGACAGATAATCTACACCTTTGAGACTGAAGGATTATAGCATTATTTATAAGCACACTGGACCAAATGTGAAAAAAAAAAGAGAGAAAAATAAAAAAAAATTGAGAGAAACTTGAGCATAAAAGCATGTAAAATATTCATAAAGCTTTTGGCTCAAGTTTTTCTTACATGTATGTGAGACAACCTGGCTACTGTGCAGTATCAGTGACACTTTGGGGACCTACAAGATGACTGTGTCTCAACAGCTCCACAGACAAGTCCCTGAGTGACAGGCAGCTGGCAGGGCACATTTCCCAGCCCCAGCTCTCTGAGAAGGCCGAATGGGTGACACATCTTCATCACCTGCCTCTAAGGTCACACTTTGCCCCATTCACCTGCTTAGTCTCATATTATCATGGCCCAAAACATCAGATAGGATTAGTAGCAGAAGAAATTCAGGGTTTTCAAGTCTTGGGTATATGGGTTTCAGGTTAACAAAGACAAAACTTTATTCTAACCTGTATTTAACAACCAAACTGAATTTCTGTTGATGCAGTAGCTCTTACCCACAGCCCTAGTTGCACTTTCAAAGATTGTGAACTCAGGGTGCTGTTCTCAAACAGATTAAGCCTGTGCAAACTGGGGCTACCGTGTTCCCCTCCCTTGAGCTGACACTTTTGCAATGACTCAGATAAGGGAACTATTCTAACAAAAAAACAGACCTAGGAACACTTGCTAGTGCATCCAAATATATAATTTGTGATAACATACAAAACCAGTACTTTGTAATGTTCTTTATCTCATTTTTATCATGAGGAAAAAAGATTAATGAATGTAACAAAAACAATTAAGGGAAATTTTGAATGGAAAAACTAATTTTAAAATAGTAATAACAGGCAACAAGCAGGGATCAATTACATTAGCACACTGTTCAAATAAAATTATGCATGTCCTGACTGTATAATGATTTCTTTTCCTCCTAAGCTAAGCTGACAGCATCCTGGAGAGCCTGAAATACTACAGATGCTGACCATGTCTGGCACAGTGATTCTTAGGCTTTTTTTGACTTTGACGTTTTCAACACCTAATGTTTTTTGTGAGCCACTGTACATCTTAACATCAACTTACAATAAGAAAATGCTCTCAAGATGCTGTAAATAATCAGGAAGTAAAACTAACTTATCTTTTACTGGATGTTTTAATGAGATTAGTGGAAATTTTCAAAATTTTATTCTTTAACACTCTTGTTAGATTAGCTAACCATGGCCCACATGGCCCACAGAATACTTTTCTGCAACAACTGTTTTAATGTAGATAAGACCTCCCTGTAAAATATCTGTGTATTACATCATTGTCACAGGCAGAACCAATTTTAACAGAAAACTCCTACCATAGCCATGTGCACTGATGTTTTCATTGCCAAGGGTCATTTCTTCCATCTGTATCTTTCCTGAGAGTCAGAAATTGCTTACAGTAGGAGAAACCATATCAGAAAAGTATTAACATCACTCAGGAGTCCTTCAACACAATTAAGAAGTATCATTAAGGAGAAAGAAATAGCACACTCTGACCCATGAGCCAACAGTCCAGCTGGCCTTCTTCCTTGTTACAGCACTTACCCTTCATTCATGCACACTCTTGATTTTCTGAACTACTGGAGTTCTTACCCAAATTCTCCTCTAAATTACTTGGTATGTCATTTTATAAATGCATAATCAGAATATGTGGGATACTTCATTAGTATAATTGAAAACACAGGGATGTAACAATTTCACATATATCATTAAAACATCTGAATGAAATGGAGATCTCACACTGCTTCTGTTTAGTGTTTATCAGAAATTTCTGAGTCTCTTGCATTTATTGGGAGGCAGGAGATGGAGTCAGATGAAAAGCCTGAATGTATCCAAAAGAGTGTGAAATTTGTGATAAATGTAACTGCCTCAGTTCATTGTATCCAGTCAATAACACTGTAAACAACTCAGAAGTTGATACAACCCCAGCTTCACCAGAGTACACTTTTCCCATGGCTTCAGTTTTACAAAGGCAATCCCACATACCATCTTGCTCATGCCAAAAAGGCAGTCACATTCCTTCACTCCTTTAACATAAACTCTTGCTGTTTGGTGACACCTCTAAATGCCCACCTGACCTCTCCCAGAGCAGGCTCAGCTTGACCAAGGCAGGCAAAAAGCAAATACAGTCCATGTGTGTTTGAGGGAAAACCCAGTACAGTAGCATTTCATATTGTTGCTGGTTTTCTTGCTTATACCAGATGAGCCACAACAAATGCAGTGCCTGTTTTTGATAAAGGGAATTACACACCAGTTGTGTTTGTGCTTTGGTCAAAAGTTACCAGGTTTTAGAACTATAAATACACTTAGTGAATCGTGCCAATAAAGAATATTTAGTATCTTTCAGTATTGGAATGAAAGCCTCCATTTAGTTTGCAAAGAAGAGGGGACAGATGATAATACCCACATAATACCATGTATTACATAAAAATTCTAAACCTTGCAGTACCAGCCAGTATTGATTAAATTGATCTTTATTAAATATTTACAGGTTTTCCAGACGTGAAGTGTCTATCATTTTCCTCCCTAACAACAAACCATACCAAAACATAATCTCAGAGCTCTCCTGCACCACATAAAACCAGCAGAACAACAGATTCCTGTGTCTGAGAGTCTTTGGAAAGTGACATTACACTAACATCCCATTACTAGGACACTATGAACTCAAATATATTCTAAGATCCAAGGTAATATTTGCTTTGGCAACAATGAAATGTTAAGATGATTCAGCTATACTGGAAAATCATATCCTGAAACAATCTTTACCATTGCTTGAAGATGATCTATGGCCTCAGAAGTGACTGTACTAGAGCAAAGTTTGCCATTGTGTCAAGAAGACTGGAGAAAAATCGCTTCAGCAGCTCTATATGCCTTTTAGTGACTTCCCACAAGTTCTGTGCAGGGATACAGAAGTCATGACTGTATATATATATATGGGTTTTTTTAGTGAAAGGAGACAAAATATGGGCTATAAGGTTTCTTTAAGGAATTATGCTCCTTGAATTATATACACATAATTGCCTCCCATCACTTGCAGTTGCTCAATGTCTTCGTTCCGAACTGACTACTTTGTCATAGCATCTGTTAGCACTGACATGGAGGATTTATGTATTTCCATCTAAAAAAAAAAAAAAAAAGGCTCTCTGTCAATATTGTATTTAATTATGTGTTACATACCTCTATAGCTTTACAAGACACAGTTAAACTTTTCTCCAGTGGCTTTTATAGATCCTCAACTTCTCAGCTGGAATAAATCTGAAAGAGCTGAGAAGCAACTAAAATCAAAGACTCCAGCCTGCCAGACAGCTGCTGTGACTGCTCAGTGACTCAGGTCTTTGAGTAACTGTCTTGGCAATAATTATTACATCGTTCCCATTTTTATGCCTTTCTAATAGCCACTTTAGAGAAAAGAAAAAAAAAAGGAAAAAAAATCTTCCCTCGGGGTTGTTGGTTCTATGGTTCTATGAAGGAGGAAGGAATGAAAACAGCCACTGAGACATCAGTTCCACTTCTGAGTGTGCATGGTGAAGGCGTTTCTCTGCTATGGTTTTTTCCATTATTGTTTTATTTCCTCATGAATAAGCCTGGGGCCATGTTCCGGTGTCTCTGGAGAAAATGGCCTCTAATATTGAGCCTTCGTTCCCCAAACTTTAATTTATAGCCCTGTGATCATTGATGTAGCGAGCCCAAGCGCGCAGGCAGTGCTGCGACACACTGCACACACGCGTGCAGCTCTGACACCCGCGGCAGGAGCCGCAACTACCGCGGCAGCTGCAACCCCAGGGGGAGAGGGAGCCGCAGCCACCTCTGCGCCACGGGCACGCCATCGCCGCCCTGGCGCCCTCTCCCCACGGCCGCCAGGCACAGGCGCCATGCCGGCCCCGCCATGGCCGCGCCCGCCCCGTGCCTCGGTCTCCCGCCGCCGCGGGGCCGCCTGGGGCAACCGCCGAGGCGCCGTCCTGCCGCAGGTGCGGCCGCGGGGACTACACGCCCCAGCATGCTCCGCGCCCGGCTCCCCGCCGCGCCTCGCGTGGGGGAGGCCGCGCGGCGCGCTGGGTAACGTAGTCGGAACTGGGAGGTGTAGTGGGGGAGCGCAGGGAAAAGAGCGGCCGGGAGCGGCGGTGGCCGCTTCGGTTTTCCACGCGAACGAGCGGCGAGCTCCAGCTGAGGGCAGGGGTCGGGCTGGCGGGGACTGGCGGGGCAGGTCAGGCCGATAGGCGGCGGCACCTGGACGCGCCAGCGGCGGCACCGCCCGCCCGCCTGGCGGGGAGGGGAAGGAGGAGGCGGAGGCGGGGGAAACGGAGCGGCTGCCGCGCGCTGCCGCATGTGCCTGGAGCGGCGCCGGAGCGGGCAGCGCGAGCCATGGCGGAGCACGGCGGCCCCGGCATCCCCAACGGCGAGTGCGCCGCCCGCCGCCCCGGCAACAGGGTCACCGTCGTGCTGGGCGCCCAGTGGGGCGACGAGGGCAAAGGCAAGGTGGTGGACCTGCTAGCTCAGGACGCCGACATCGTCTGCAGGTGCCAGGTGAGGAGGAGGAGGAGGAAGGCGGCCGGGGTGCGGGGGAGGCCGCGAGTGTCACCTTGAGGCGGGCGGCCCCGCTACCGGCCCCGCCGGGCGCTTCTAACCGTGCCGGTTGTACCCCGAGCGCCCGGGGACGGCAGGGCCGGGGGCTGCGGGGCAGCGGAGCCTTCCGTGGCGAGAGCCCCGTGCCGGGCTCCGCAGCCCTCCCGCGCCTCCTTCCTTTGTCCCAGCGCCGGGGGAAGAGGAGGAAGAGGAAGGCGCCCTCCTCGCCGCCCGGAGCTGGCCCCCGGCAGCAGGAATGCGCCTGGGGTCGCGTCCTCCCTCCCCTTCAGGCCTCCCACTCTTTGTGTCCGGGGGGCGCCGGGAAGGGGCCGCGCTCGGCGGCTCCGGCAGCATCGCCGCGGGGCCGGGATCCCGCCCGGAGCCCTCCCGGGCCCAGCGCCGGCAGCGGCGCGAAACCGCCCGCGAGTTGTAGGATGCACGTGGGGGATTCGCGTAGTCCGCCACTACTCGGGCGTCTTCAGCTGAAACTGGCTGGCAAATGATTCGCCTGCCCTCGCTCCGAGATCGGTGTTGTGTCAATGGAATCCCACATTTACCTGCTTAGATATTTATAGATTTTTTCCCTCTCTACGGAGGCCTTATTCCTGCTAAAAAAGAAAAAAAACCCACCCAAAATCGTCTCTAGCCTGCAAGCAAAATACTCTTAATGCCTGATTTAAAACAACACAGATCTCAGGTGTTTTTCTTAGCATCTCTAGTATAGTAATTCTGGAGAGCACAGCACAGTGAACTGAAGCTGCGCACGGTTTTTTCTTAAAGTTGAGAGATACAGCAGCATAAAATGCCTGCAGTATGTGCAGGTTTCACGTAAGTGTTGTTATCTATGTGCTTTTGTTGACTGCGCAAATCAAATTTGCTCTTAAATAAACATATTTTGGAAGTGCTTGCCATTCCCCAAATAGTCCAAACGCTGAACTGTTGTTGTCCAATGAGAAGTGCACATAAACTGGTGTTTTCAAAAACAAGTCAGTTGCAAAGCTGGCAAGTCAATACCTTGAACTTCAGGGAATTAAATTTTGAAGTAAACAAATAGATTCGTAAATAGCTGTTTTCACAAATGAATTGTTTTTTCCACTTCTCTGTTTTTTGGTTTGGTATTTTCTTTTTTTTTTTTAATAATAAAATCTGATGGTGCTGTGGTATGACTGCGTGGCTTTGTGGGTCATAGAACAGAGTGACTCAGTTCGTCCTTTACGACTTTGTTCTTGAAACTTGAAGGGCGCCTAGGTGAATGTGTATGTTTAATACTGAGTTTTGGAGAGACAAGAGAGGCAAACAGTGAATTTCTGTGTGCACATGTTTTCATGTGCTTGTTACTTGCTTTGAATCAGCTGGGTGAAGGGTGAAGAAAAGGGAAAAATTCTGATGTTATCTCAAGGTAGAGTTTCATGGCCATATCCCAAGCCGTGAACTTCTGCCATTTTTAACAGCTCGTTGCTCCTGATGAAGGAAGTTTTTCTTCCTCCTTTCTTCCCTCCCTGTAAATGGCTGTGCCCCTCGAGTCTCCACCCACGCACTAGCTCTGGCAATTGAACACCTCTGTAAGTGGATTTAACTCATCAGAGTGGCAGGAAACTATTTGTTGGCTTTACATTCTTCTGTTCTAGTAAATAAAACTGGGTTTTATTGGTTCGAAGGACCTTGGTGAGAAGAGAGGTCCAGAACAGGGCAAGCACAAGGAATGATTTCTCAGATTGAGAGAAGAAAATAGGAATATTCTCCTTCAGTGGCACTGATAAAATTAAATAATTTATTATTATTGAATATTCTTTCTATGTATACAAGCATATTTGTGAACTTTTTGTTAGTGCTGGTAAATCAGTCTGACCCTTCTGTCTTTGTAGTGGTACCAGTCCAGCAAGAAAGAGAGTCACACACTGGTCTGGTGCTTGCTAATATCAGCTTTCTGTAATTGGAGCTTCTGATCCTTATTTCACCATTATACTCTTACTTATTCCCGGATGGTTCCTTCTGTTCATCATGCCACAGAGTTGCTGGAATGCCTGCCCATGACGTCAAATATTTCCAGAGTGCTCTTGTGGAAAATTTATTAGTTACAAGTGTTGGAGGCCTAGGAAAGTTGATGTAGCAGGTCTGAGATGTCTTGGAAACTCGTGTGGTACTTGCAGTGAGACACTCCAGGGTTGTTCTCGCTGGCCTTTGTTCTGGGCAGATGCAGAGCATGAACATGGTCCTGTCCCAGAAGTGAGAGTGACTTATCACTCAGTTTTACAATGCCTGTAGAGGCACTGTGAGAAGTTGTGCTCTGAAGTCTGTGGCCTTCTTGTCTCCTAAGCAGCCTGTGTGCTGATGACTGCAGTTTGATCGACCAGCCGTGGCATTTGGGACCAGGTGCTTACTTGGGTTTCATTCAGCAGTTAGCTGAATGAGTACGTCAGGAAATAAGTTGCATTATGACTCTAGTTCTAAATAGCACCCTCTAGAGTACTTTATCGTAGGTTTAGAGGTTGTGAAAAGCAATCTTGTGCTCATGGGAAGAGCTGTATTTTCAGAAGACAGCTTCAGAATTTAACAGAATTTAATTTATTATGGTTTCAAAAACAACTGTTAGAAGAAGCTCAGCTAAAATTAAAATATGTCCAGGGGCTGCATGCATGTAGTTGAAACTGCACTGGCAGCTATGATAGTTTTGTGAAGATACTGCACAGGGTTCATGTACAATTAATACAAATGTGTCTATATGACAGGTCAAGTGTGTAATTGTTCTTTCACTGTAAAATCAGAATTGTTCATTGTTCTTGATTTACCTCTTGGGGATTTCTGGTAAAATGGTTCTGTTGATGAAACAAATACATTGGTGAGACTTTGCACTTAAACCTCTATCTTGTCTTCAGTGTATTAAAGAACAAAGTCTGTCCACATGCTATCCCATAAATCATAGTTCAGACAGTAAAATAGAGCAATAATTTATTTGGGATTCGGGAATAATTGCCAGAAAAACTTTGGTTTTGTATGATTTGATTGATATAATTTTCTCTTAGTAAGCAGTTAGCCTTGATGCCAGCAAACCTGGCAATTTTTAGGTTATATTGTGTTTTGTAAATTCCACAGATAATGGAAAGTTAAAGGAAAACATTTCTTGTTCTGATTAAGGACTTCCAACCATTACAGAGTGCAGCCAAGTTAGGGAATGAATTACCAAAGTTTCATTTGTTAGTGGGAGTGATGGAAATGGGAAATTAATGCAAGCAAGTTATTTTAGATAATATTTTTTTCAAAACAAATGCAGTAATAAAAGATGCTGTGAATCTCTTATATTAACAGCACTCCTCCACCCAATCTACCAGTGGTTACCATACAGCAAAAATTGTAATATTTGCAATGATTCTGTTCTCTTTCACTCATTTCATCAGGAAGTTTTGGTCACTTCCTTTTCTTACTGTTGGAGGTAGTTGATTTAGTCAGAGAACTAATTCACAAAAAGAAGATTTCTAAGCTTTCACTTATTTTTTTATCCCATATTCCTCATGCTAAAGAATCCCATTTTGTTGCTTCTTTAATTCTGTCCTACAGTTGTTGCAACTTTGAAGCAGAATTGCAGCTTCTTGCCAGGTCCTCTCATCTGGTTTCAGTGTGACGTGCCTGCTGTGGGATTCGACTCCTGAGCTGCTAATGCAAGGGAATTGCAGTGTGTGGAGGCTTCATAGTCCCTGTTCTCTTCTGCCCAACAGCAGTGGGTACAGCAATGCACTGCTAATGGCTTGATAATGTGGCAACTGTAGTGCAACATCTAGAGGAGTTTTCAGTGCCCAGATCCTTGGGGTTAAGCAGGCACCATCAATCAGCTGATAAGCGATTGATAATGGTTACCATCGATCAGCTGCTGACTGAAGCCCTCGCACTAATGCTGCCTGATACCCTCACTAAACTTTATATGGCTACTTTTTTTTTAAAAATGGGAATTAAAAAAAATCTTCCATTTGCCAAGCCCACTCTTTTTTTCTGAATATTCTCATTTGAGAAATATTTAACTCTAGAGCCTATGCAAGGCATGCAGAATTAGGAATACCAGAATCAATAGCTATAGTTGTTGGTGCTCATTTTTGAGCTGCTCAGGCATTCAGTAAGTGATGCCTAGCTAGAGCTTTCTTTAGGTGCTGGGTGCACTGCTGGACCTTGTGGTGGTTGGCAGCGTGCCAGTGGTGTGCTCTGGTGAGGAAAGGGGCACTGAAGTTCTGTCTTTGGCCTCCCCCATCAGTGAGCCCTGTGCGTACAGACCTGCTTTAAAGCATCACCGGCTGGTGATCTCATTACTGTAAACAATCACACAATGTCTACGTTATTTTAAACAGAAGAACAGTTTAAATGTGATTTTCCAACTCATAAAGTTTGCACTATTAACAAAGAAGGCCTTAAAAGCACTAAAGAGCAAATTATATCTTGATCTACTGATTTCTTAATGCACTTTCCATCTTACTGTTACCTGTTGCTACAGAAGCTTAATGTATGTGTTTGGTGACTGAGGTGCAATACTCTGCAGCAGTTCATTAAGATTTCAAATGCATTTTTTTATTACTACTGTGCTACTTCATGCATTTGGAAGGTGTTTCTGTAAGTGTTCCCAAAGTAACTTTTTCTTTTTCATGTCCTTTCTTGAATATTGTTGTGACTGTAGCACACATTGGTGGGGTTTTGTGCATTGAAGCAATGCAGTGCTGGACTTATCTGTGCTTTAAATGTTTTTCTTGTTCCTTATGTGCCTGCCTCACTTGATCTCTTATCTCTTAGAGATAGATTGGTCTTTATTCTGGACTTCAGTAATAACTCCTGTTTCCTGCCTAGCATATATAGGCATTGCCACACAATAAAATTTTGCAGGTCGGGTAGAACAAAGTCAGAACCGTCTCTAAAGAGTCTTTCTGAATAACTCCTTTCTGTAGTAGTCCTCAGAGCTAATTCTGTCAGTATAGAGAAATGGA